TATATATATATATATATATATATATGTATCCGAATACACTAGATTAGGCCCACGGCCAAAGGCAAAGTTGTAATATGGCTTTCATAGAATATTCTGAAAACAGCTGAGGAGTCATCGTCTCAAAAATCTGTAGTGACAATCAGCGTATCTACTGTTATGCAGTTTTTCGCTTTTGAGAGAGAGACTTCGTCAGGCTAAGTCAGTAGTTTTCTAGCTTGGCCAAAGTTTAAGTCAGCCGGAGACTACCTCAGCAGCACCTCCCGTCACTCTCAATCAGCGTATCTACTGTTATGCAGTTTTTCGCTTTTGGCACAGAGACTTCGTCAGGCTAAGTCAGTAGTTTTCTAGCTTGGCCAAAGTTTAAGTCAGCCGGAGACTACCTCAGCAGCACCTCTCATCCGTCACTCTGGAGCATTTTCGGATTTTGTTTGTAGGTTCTTGTAGCTTGTAATGGGTGGCTAAACCTTAGAACTAGTGGGTCGCCGTGAGATTTGGCGTTCATCTGGCATGGTTTTGGACTTTGATCTTTTAGATAGACGGACGGTTCCTTTCGGAGTCGTTTACCGTTTTTATTAATATGTGTGGATTTGTTATTCCCCCAACGTTTTCGCTATCAGGCTGAGAAAACTGGGATTTTGGTCAGCTATTCCTCTCAAAGATGAGCTACTTCAGTCGGTGATTCCTTTTTGCTGATGACGACTCGTCACTTTTCGTTGGCCAAACCTTCACTACCTTCGCATCCAGCAAAACGAAATGCGGAGCGAATTTTCCATACTTTTCACTCACTCAATAAGTAGTAATGAAACGGTTGATCTCGTCATAAAAAGTTCCAGATGAGGAGGCACGGTACTACTGGCACAGGAAGTTTCTTTTTTGGCAGTGTTGTGAAATATAGGTAGCTCGGGTGTGTTGATTGGTTGTCGGTCTGTTCTCCGAGCTTGGCAGTTGGTTTCATCACCAGTCGAGGTGACATCGTCAGTTCGGGGTTGGTCGCTATCTCGGACCAACCAGGGTGTTTCAAATAAGGTTCCTGAGGATACCCCTGCGGAGATCTCTTAACAGACACCAAAAGTGGAGCATCAACCAGTCGGTGGTACTTGACTAAAAGGTGTTGGTTTATATTCCTTCCGATCAAAACTACCCTGATATTAAGCAAAAGATTGTCGGCTTCTAAAAGTGCCACTACTGAAGAAATATTTTATAGATTTATCATTTATCGTCATCGTGGCGTTGAAATTGTTCGCTCGTCGAACTAGTGAGAAGTCAAGTAGCCTTGTGGAGGAACTTTCAAGCTCCAAAAAATATCACAAAAATGTTGGTTTAAAAAAAAGAATTGTCAATCTAAAACAATTAAAGGTAAACACTGCTGGTCGCAAAAAAATTTAGGCAATAGACTGGCAACATGTGAAATTCTACCCATCTTTTTATAGGGAACTTCCAACTCTTGTGAAATGTGGCAAAAAGCTCTCCAACAGGTGAGTAACTTAGCAGTATTTGTTTAAAGTAGTAGTTAAAAGTAGTAGTTTACCTGTGTGGTTTTTATTCTCAGTATAAGGGGGAATAATTCACGAGTTAAGTGAAACCAATAGCTGAGAGGTCGTCACTCGGGGGACTCGGTCAACACGTGACCTCATACCTGAATGATGGGTGGTACTATACTCTGTATGAACAAACCACACTGCCATTACCAGGAAACTCAGTCGCGCTGATCATTGCCGTCTCCATGGTTGGGGACGCCGAGGGCAGCCGGGCTACACCAATGGCTGACGACATTGTCAGACATGGCCCAGTCGCGCCCTCAGTGGCACTCATGCATCCAAGCTATTGCCTTCAATGCATAGCTCCCTTCCCAATCCCCCACTTAATAGTCCACCTGCAGTGTTGTATCTACGCCCTAATTTACCAGCTCCATCCTCCAATGCGTAGCTACCTACCCCACCTCCCCGAATCATCGAAAATGTGACAGCTACAACCACTGTACGACAAGTACGCGATTGTTACAGCCGATGACGATTATTATCATCCAGAAGGTCGTTGGCTCGAATCCAACTGGCAATTTGTGACATAGGCCCTACTAATGTTCCCCAATAAGGATGAAACAGCTGTACAGTGCTCCTCGGCTTTTCAGCATGGCCTTGCTTCACTTACAGGGAGAAACCCCGCTTAAAGCTTCCGCAGAATCCGCAAAAGATGCTGAAATAGGTGTACTCAGCGGAAAAGTGCAGCACATCGAATAAGCCCAAAACTACTACCTTAAGTTCTTGTGTTCAGCCAGAAGCTTGATTTTTGTAGCCAAAAGCTCGCTAATCTGTGTGCTAACCATCAAATGTCCCGCACGATGTTTGATGTACTCAGTCGTTATGCATGAACCTTTGAAGACCATACAATCCCTGGTTAACATCACGTAAGTTTCGCCCATAGATTTATGCCGAATTAGTTCCTATCCACACGGTAAGTGTGGGATGATGGTAACGGTGTGGGAACCATAACGTGGTAGGCCAAAATGTCAATAAAATGGGAAAGATGTCAAGCCGATTCTGGTTAGCTTGGCATAGCAGGCTTGGGCGAGATGGTCCAAGTGGTTAGGGCACGAATTTACTGACCGCAGGGTCCGTGGTTCGAATCCGACCTGAGCCTCTTGACTTCCCCTGTCTAGGTTTGGGCAACCTGGCAGCATCCCAGCCCTCGTGCTTCCTTCGGGTGGCATGGCAGCTAGGCCCCGGAAGGGTGCTACAGCTGAACGCTATATATAAATACAAATGATTATGAAATTACCAGACCACAAACAAGTATATTCACATCCCCTATGTGTTCTCAGCGAGTCATCCGAGAGTTTAGGTTTGTTTAAGTTAAAAGTCCAGTCACCAGACTCAATAGGAATATCCGCAGTTATTTAAATTGTCATTACCTGGGTGAAAATGATACAGTAACCGTGAAAGGTTTAAAATTTAACAAACCGTCTTCAAAAACCAGATACTCTATAGCTGACTTTTTTTCAAGTTGGTTGATGAAGCATTTTGTGATCAAAAGTGACTGCTGTTGATCAAACTAAATCGAATGCTTTTTTGGATGAGGCCTTTAGACCCAAGCTGATCAAGGGGAAACGTCGTAAGCTTACGTTCAGCAGTTTGGTATAAGAAACGGAGTAGCTGGGTTTCAGTTATGTTGATCAAGAATTCGGTGTCAACTCTGGTCAGGTTGTAGGGGTGTGTGGAATGAACTGCTGCGTTACCTATCTTGATTTGTCGAAAATCTTGAGCACGGTGGACACAGCTGGACGTCTTCATGATCATCACACAGCTTTAATCGCGTTGTTTGACACGGTGCAAAGTTCGAGGTAACGTAGGAAAATCTTAAACAAATCATGCTCTTTGAGTGGCTCAGCCCAACTTCCCTTGGAATACAACTGCCTTGGAATAAGTATGAACCAGTGAGTTCAGGTGAACAAGCAGATACCATCAACAGATTTGGTCCGAGCTATCTACTTTCTACCCTCCATTGAATTTTATTAAAAGCCTCTGTCTTGAAAGTTCGCACATACCTCGTTTTTCTGCAATGACTCTCAGCTGTCATGACAGCATCCGAGTCTTATTGAACCGTGTGAGTTTATCCAAACGTTTCCCACACACATCTCCCTTTATTTTTTCTTCATCAGACAAAACAGTAACAATCCTAAAAAACACCTGTCCACAAACCAGTGCGCATTCACAATAGTACACCAGGTGGAAATAGACTGCAGTCACTCGGGTGATAATATCAACTCATCTCCAATCGAATCGGTGTGTATTGTGGAGACCAAAGAAGTTTCGGATGCCATGCAGGCCACTGTATTCTTGTAGCACAGTGAATTTTCACAAGTTTCAGGATTTATTCTTTTCATGGTTAACTCTGCATTTTAACTTCTTATTAGGTTATTCTACCTAATTTTGTTGGACAGGATTGAGTTGTCTCATGGCTTTGTTTTATAGCGTGTTTGAGTTCTGATTCGTTTGGGACAATAAATATCTTCATTCTGATAGTAGAGTTTTCAGTTTTTGTGGTCCGCGGGTACGAGCTTTATCCCCATGAACGCAGTTTCCAAGATGAGCCAGAGGTGCTCAGACTTGCCGTTGAGAAATCTGAGCTTTGAACAGGCTAAGACTCGTTTATGTTCAGATAACTGGATTTGTATTGGTGTGTGAAGAGTGATCCAACACTATGATTATGGTCTTTCTGAGCGGTTGAAAAAGTATATTTTCAATGCACTACTCATAAGGTTGCTGAAAATTTGTCTTGGTCAGCATCTTAAATGACTCATCTAAAGACCTCATGTAAGGAGTACTCCTCAAACCAGAAGCAGACTTTGCGTTCACCAAAGTTTGTCTTTGCAGGCGAGATGATCGTCAATGTATGAGCGATTCAACAAGACAATGAAGAAGAATTGATTGATTGGTTTTTCTGCATTGCGTTTCTTCCTACGAAAACCACGCTCGATCAAGGCAGAAAATCCTAATTGTTGTGTGAAAAGAAACGAAAAATCCAAAACAGTTTTGAATATTACTCATCAGTGTAAGACAAGGTGTCGAACTGGAAAATCAATGACGCCTCGGACCGTAATTTTATTTGTATTCATCGATTGCACAAGCAACATCTCAGCTACTGAGGTTCAGGATGGACGGAGCATACTGGTTTTCTCGGAATTGTTGGTCCAGGCGAAAGAATTAGGTTGATAAGCGGCGGTGGAGGTCGTAACCTTGATGGTTGCTCACATTCTACTGACCACACAGTGATAGGTGCTAAAGGATGACATGAATGACCCCGATAGATTAGATCACGAGATTCCATCCGAATAATTGGGGCTTGATCCACCATTGGCCGCGCTGATTTTGGCTACTTATTCCCATGTTGATGATCTGTACCTCGCCTACTTCTGCACTCAAGATGCAAAACATATTCTATCTTTATCATGTGAACGAGTTTGGCCTGAGAGCAATATAAGTCCCACGTATACTTGATGCCTTTTTCGTTAGATGTCCCTCTGCAGTCCGCAAACTCTTGGATTACTATAATTCTACACTGGCTTGCCTACAGCAGATTGACACATCCTGGTAGCCATCGTACAGTCTAAGCTTAATAAGTGGCTAAGATTAGTTGACCATATAAGCGTGGAGTGGGTGAAGGTAACGACTAAGAGGGACTGCCTACAGAAATCGCGGGATTCAGCTACTTAGTTGTCCGCATTCTGATTGTTCTATAAACGCCTTCTACGCTCCCTTTAGCCAGATTTCTACCGCTAAAAGAAACTGAGCCTAGTACATTCTTCCTTGTTCAGAAAAATATTGTTAGCCCATGTCACATTGACTGTTGTTGGGTTTTTTCCTTGGGTGCACATAGCAATCGCCAAGTTCCTTCCATCTCCCCCGAAGATCCATATTCCCGTTTCTCCGTAGATGCCTCCAGGTATAAATTTTGTATGGAGTGACTGAGTGCGTATGGCCAATATGTCGCATTTATGAGGAATCTGAGTACTGCGGGCCGACTGGATGATGACAGTAATCCATTAAATGAGATCGCCCAAAGCAAGGTCATTCCCCTGCACAGTGCACGATAGTTTTTCTGTCATCCACAATTCATTGTGACAGTTCATAAAGAGGGACCAAATCCCCTGCTTACCTCAGGTGATCCATCTTGAGGGTTCAGTTTACAATCCTCGCAAAAGATCGGATTATTACTGAAGTACAATCGTCTGTTTTACTCCGACTGTCCCCAAGACGCCTACAGAAATGGTCAATGCTCACTAGTGTCCTCGACTGGTTTTGCTTAGATGAACTACCGGGTGACGAGAGATAAAAATATACACTTGACTTTCAAGTTCAATCAGTTACGTACGATGTTAACTCTCTGAAAGCATTAGAGCAATCTAGATTACTGAACATAGGCGATCCACACAGCGTTGTGGAAGTGAACTGGCGGAAAACTTGTTAGCCTAAGGTCGAACCTATGAAGAGCGCTTGCTCCACATCCGGTGTACCATTCCTTGGACGTCTACTATGGCCCCAATCTAATCCAATTAAATGTAACCTTTAGAGCCATATCACGCAATTCAGCAAAAACGAAAGCATTTATTCTCACGAATAACACACAATGAAGCGTCAGAATGGCTTGCAAAGCACTAGAGGTGGTTTTCCGATAACTGATCAGTCAACTTAGTCAGGTTGGTAACCGCTCTCTCCCCTGATGGAGTCCCGGAACAAGACAAACCGGTGGTTAGTGACCTTGACGAATCTGACTGTCACACAGCCAATGGCGTTCTTACATAAAAGCTGTCACCAATGTGCAGCTTCCAGGAAAACACAGGTTTATTTGAGTTCATTGAACAGGCTGTGGTATCGACTTGAACGCGCCTATCTCATTCTTGGGGGCAGCAGATGGAACAATTGCACTTCTGTGAGCTAAGATGAACTGTCCATTTAGTTGCGTGCAATTTCATCAGTCCCCTGAAGATATCCTCGCGGTCGATTCATTGCTATATATGCTGTTTTGTTGTCCACCGCCAACCCCCACACGAAAACATTTCTACGATAAGATGAGTGGGTTGGGTGACCGGGTATTTGACAGCTAGATACAATAAACATTCCTCCGTCTGTTGAGTGATTTGATGTTGAAATTCTTCCAGAACAAGTGTAAACGGAATAGCACACAAAAAACGATAATTAGTTTGCCAGCTAGATACAATAAACATTCCTCCGTCTATTGAGTGATTTGATGTTGAAATTCTCCAGAACAAGTGCAAACAGAATAGCACACAAGAAAACGATAATTAGTTTGTCAGTTGTATGCTGATTAGGTTAATCTCGGTCAGACCGAAAACAAGATGTCAAAATGACCGAACCGTGCGAGTCTTGGTAACCAGACTTCTATGCTTCTGTCTTGATCTTCTCAATTCCACACCTCGGTAGATGAACTCATCACACTGCATAGGTTGTGCTGGCCTGGCCACGTGCTGTGTATGCCAGTCGGCCGACTTCCTCGATGGGCTCTTTTCGCACAACCACGTGAAGGGTGGAAGAGAGCCAGAGGAGGTCCAACAATGACTTGGCAGCAATGTATGAAAGCCCTTACCAGCAAACTCTGCTGCGCTGTTCACTGTCGTCTTCCTGGATGGGGACCCCGATACGGGCCACATCAATGGTTAGAGACATTGTCAGACATGGCCCAGTCACGCCCTTAATGGTGCTCATGCATCCAAGCCATTGCCTTCAATGCATAGCTCCCGTCCCAATCCTCCCACTTGATGGCCCACTGACAGTGCTGGATTTATGCACTACTTTACCAGCTCCCTTCTCCAATGCGCAGCCACCTATCCCACCTCTCCGAATCATTGAAACTGTGGCAGCTACAACCACTGTACAACAAGTAGGTGGTCATTACAGCTGACAATATTAATGATGATTTGACATACTACCGATCTTTGTGACTCGACCCAATCATTCCGACGTCAATATGTGGTTGAATATGCTCAGCCGTATCCTGACTCTGATCGATTTCATCCAGCTCCTGTTTAGTTCCGTTCCAAAAAGGGAATATGGCTATTATCATCAGCACCTACACCCTCGATCATTCTTTGGCCAAGTTGTTGATTTGTGATTGATCGTTTTGTAAAGCAGAACAGAATGATGAAGCAGCTTCGTGAACTTGAATTACACAATCAACATTCATAAAGGCGCACATTGTGGCGTTGCCTTCAATCGTTGAGTTTATCACTGGATTGGAAATAAACAGTATGTTTAGATTATGCTTTTCGACAAGACGTTACGACTACTCTGTTTTACAAACAAAACGTGTTTGATTTTTCCCCGGATATCGAAACGTAACGGGTAAATTGACAGAACAGGGTCAGCTCAGTCAAAGAAAAACCGAAACAAAGTCCAGTTGAAAAACAGTGCAGTTGAATTGTCACAAAAATCCCAAACGAATTCAGCTGCCACTTGAAAGTGACCTGCTGCCAACTGAGGCAAACTGAGGATATACTTCAGCAACGGTGTTGTGTCTGAGTGCAAACCAAGAAGCCTTCAAAAGTGCAAGCAGTTTTTGTTTTACTTGTTGTAGATTTTCTCTTAAGCGAAGCACATAACCGGTTTTCGAATTTCTATATCCGGTATCCGTAAAACAATAGCTGACATCACATATGTTGTGCCCTTTACTCACTCATTACTAACGAGAGTAGTTTGTAAAATTTGTCAGTAATTTTGCCCGGCATTGTGTCTGTTGGAATGCCCTGACATCCTCATGTTACACTAACAGGTTGACCATCAATTTGACTTTAGTATTTTTATTAACTTTGGTCAGAGTCTTCAGCTTTTAGTAGTCATCAGCGCTATCGATAGATGTATTTGAATAAAGGTCAATATCGATTTCGATAGGAGGCCGATTCCCGATTAGCAGAGGTGGAACAGGCTGCAGGAGAGCGACCTAGAAATCCATAGAACTAGAATTTACTTACTCGAAGGTCACTAAAGTGGGGATCAGTGAAGCGAAGTCTAGAAAAACTTTATTGGAATGGAATGGAATGCAGAGTCTTGACAACAGTACAGGACAAATGTACGTACGTACGTACCACTGCAAGAAAAGGATCATGAGCCTAATCGAGTAACTTGAAGGGAATGGATTGATTAGGTGACAAGAATGGCAACCGTGAAACCGAAATTCAACTGGAATGTGTTGGACAGGTAGAATTCGAAGGTCTTCCGGACACTGACCAATCAGGGAGTTAGCAGACCATCCAATAAACGGAGCTGACGTTTAAACTACCAATCGTAGTCAGAAGTATTCCCGTGGGTCAACGAGACACCTTTACAACATTGCGAAAGTTCACGAACTGTTGTCAACCTGTCATACATTGATGAGGCCACCTTGGCTAATGACAAAACGTTTGTAGCCAAATCGTCTAGCTCACCGGCCACAACAAATGTTATTTAAAAGTTAAATTGCAATAAATTACAAGAACAAGACTAAATAACAGTTGGGAGGGGAAGC